GGGCGGGGAGAACAGGGGCTCGGAGGCCGCGGGGGTTTTTTTTTAGTCAGGTCTGTGGTGTTGGGGGTGTAGCTTGCTGCCGGAGCGGGGTACGAGGCCGAGCTGCTGGCTTGTCCCGTCCGCAGCGGGGGGGGGGGGGGGGGGCAACTTGTCGTCCCTCTTGGTGCCTCACAGCGGGGGCTGCGAAACGTCCCTCCGTTTTAGGGGGTCGGCAGGTTGTGTGGGGACTCGGGGGTTTTCTTTTCACGGCGTAAACAGCTAGATCTTGGAGTCTTTTATTTGAATCTTGAGGTTGGCTGTGGGTTGTCGCGGGAGCTCGGTCCGAGGGGATGGGAGAGAATCAGGCGTGTGGTGGGGAGGAGGAGGAGGAGGAGAGGTGCAGCCCCTGCAGGGCTGTGTGTGGCCCCCCCTCCCCGTTTCCTCACATGCTCCGCGTGTGATGGGTGAATCCTGCGCGGCACTGATAGGAGCCTCTGTACTTGGTGCTGCAGCTGCGAGGGAAGAAGCAGAGCTCAGCGCTTTTGCTCTCAGACCCTGCAGAGAACCACTAAGAGGAGATTGATTGCTGGCCGGGGTGGATTTCCAGCGGGCACAGAGGTGGCCTTCAGCACAGGGTTTGAGATGGCTGGAGAAGGAAGGCTGCTCATTTAAAAAGCTGTTAGAATAATGAAGGACCAAAGAGTTTCCCCGAGCAGTGGTGTGTCTGTCCTGAGGGAGTTGGTCACAGTAAGCCAGACAAAGCCTGGCTATTGACCATTCAGTTCTTTTGGGGTAGTACCGGAGTAGTGATGCTCTCAGTGGTATCATCAGTCTTGATGTGAAGGGAGACTTGGGCTGGAACTTTCTCAGTGAGTCTCAGTCCTGGAGCTCATTCACGTGAGTGAGTACTTTGAAGGTCTGCTGCTGAGTAACTGCTCTCTTTTTTTTTTTGCAATGTGCTCGATGTTAAGACTATGCCAAAGTGCAGGGGCTTGATTGCTGTGTACAGAAAAACAGACATTTGTGCGAATGAAATGAAACTGGGAGGAGGTGCAAACGGCAGCAGAGTCAGAAAAAAATAATACAGTCACTCCGGAACTGGGATTCCTTTGGGTCTGAGCATTGCTTGTTAATTGGGCAGGGAAGAAGAGGCCACTTGGCTTTTCTAATTCTTTATTGCGTGTAAGTACAGGTCCAGATGCATGGACGTATCTTGATGTGTAGATTTACTTCTGAATTAATCGTATATCTGGAAGAAAAACAGGAAAAGGAAACTGCCGAGTAGGTGCAGCATAGAAATAAGTGATGGAAATTAGTGAAACAAACTGCAGATAAAATCAGTCTGCATGAACAGCAGCTACCAAGACTTCATAGATACAAGTGAACTGTCTTCCCTGGGTAAATTCTGGTGGGATCTTGCATAAGGAATCTCCAGCTCAGGATTTGTGTGAAAATTGTATTTTAAAGGGCTGAGGTTTCTCTCCTTCAGCGGAACTTGCTGTTCTCCAGCACATCTCTCTGTTACCAAGAAAGCCAATTTTTATTAGACAGCAAGTGTTCAGGTTCAACCAGTGTAGGTTCAGAAAACACACTTAAATGCTTGGAAAAAGGGAAACATTTGGCTCTTTAGAACCTGGCAGTAAGTAAATGCTTCTGATGTCAAGTGTGATTCTTTAGTTTTTAAATGTTTGACTAGGCTTTTTACTTTTTAAATCTAGGTACATCATTTTTCTTACCTTATGATTGACTATACAGGGCGTATCACTTGCATCTTGTCATGACGCCTATCTAAAACAAGTGGGATTCTTAAATTGTGCTAAGTCTGGTGAAATGCTGTTTTTTGACAACCACTTCACTCTTATACTGATACAGACGGACTTTCTGTTCAATGACAAGCCCTGCTTATGGGTCATTTTTGAGTACACAGGGAAAAATCTCATGCAGCTGTGCTGTCAGGAAGTGAAATGTATACCCTTATACTAAGATCCCCAAGTAGTTTCTTACATCCTAACTCCAGGTCTCTCCTTCTCAGTGTCTGCTAGTTCCCAGGCATTTGGAGGATTATGTTTCTCCAAACTGTTCTAGGGTTACCTGATGTGGGACCCCGTGCTTTGGTCTGTTGCGCTGTTGGGAAAGGGCTGGGGAAAATTATGCAAAAAACCTTCTGGGGCTCTCTGGGAGCTACAGTCTGGGTCACAAGAAGAACCTGAAATCTGAGAGGTCTTCTGCTCTGGATCCTCCTTCCATTAACATTTCTGCCATGGACCACTAACCTAGAGCCAAGGAATGGAGCTGCCTGGCTGGCTGTGAAAAGCACGTGGAGGCATCTGGGCAGTCTGGTCTACCCTTCCAAGGGGTAAGGAAGGTTTTGGCAAGAGCGCTATCCACTGGGCTCTCTTTCCCCTGTGGAACTGTAAGGATCCTACTAACAACTTCCTTCTTCCACATGGTGCCACACTAGGATTAATTTTATGCCTGAGGGGAAGTCCCCCAGTGCTGTCTAATAACCAGCTCTTCTGCCTCTGATCAAGCGCTGCAAGTTGACTGTGAAGCCAAGCTGTGAACCGTATGGGGACAAGTGAGGACGCTTGGTGTCTTGCTGGCCCTATGGCAGCACCATCACTGCTCCGTGGGAAGATTTGGATTTGGTCCCTAAGCGCTTCAGGACCTCACTTTGGGGATGCTGTTGCTACTAGGCATCCCCAAGAATCTGACATGAAAGGCATCTCAGTGGATGGCAGCAGTTGAATGTAGGTCCTCTGTCCCCACCAGGGCCGGGAAGTCTCCGGGAGCTGGGAATGCTGAGGGGCTGCCCTGGGGGACCATGGATGCCTCCTTAGTGTGGGGTGCTGGGTTGTGGGGCTGCTGAGCTGCAGCAGGGAATGCTTTAAGCACACTGAGTCATGAGAGTTGGTGCCTGGCGTTACCATAGAAATTGGATCAACTGCTAGGGGTGGGGAGTCCTTGTCCCTTTGCTCTGCTGCTGCGTGGTTCCAGCATGAGCTCACGGTGCAAGGGAACCTGATTTCTTGCTCCTTGTCCCTTTGAGGTCAGAGGAGGTCAGACAGCTCTTGCAGCCCTCACCAGAGAGCAGGGAATAATTTTGCTTGGGTCTCCGCTTGGCTGCAGTGGTCAGACCCTGTGTGTTTTCTGTGCTGTCTTGGTGATCCGCTGCCCAGATATCTCTTGCTCTTTCATATATCTGCAAACTTATTTCATTTGCTTAGCAATAGCTCCCAGTCCTTTGGGAGCCCCAGGGAGGTGAAAACTGGTTGTAAAATGATGAATAGCAGATAAGTGAGGGCAGGAAGTAATAAGCATGGAGTAGTCCAGAAGGAGGGGACAAGCACTGAATGTCTAATTTCCCGTACTCTCGAAATACATCCCCAAGCTTGGTCACGAGTGTTGCCCTGAGCATGGATGTGATGCCTTCCAGTGCTCAGTCTCTCACAGGTTTTCTCCTCTGGGCTCACAACTGAGTAACTGTTTCATCATCTTCTCTGGATAAATATACACATTCAGTCTCTAGGGATGGAAGATGCTAAACATCGTTGCCCCTCCATTCTGCTCAAGGAAATAGCTTTACTGTGAATATAATCTTGCCACACAAAGGCGTTGTGCCTCCTCAGATCGTCTTTGAACTCTTTGCTCTCCTCATAATGCAAAATAAGCACAAACCCGGCTGAGAAACAGTGTTACAGTCTTGCTGATGCAAGGTGTCATTTTGTTTTGCTACAGTTCCTCTTGGCTTGTTGCCTGTTGGCTGCTGAATTACTGTCGGTGTGGTCTGTGTGAGCAATCCAGATCTATGTACTTGTCCTTTCCAGTGTTTCCTTGCTTACTTCCAGGACACTGACTTTAGAGGATAACAGCTGTTTCCTAGGGGTTGTCCCTAAGAATTGGTACTCTTAGGAGGTGCTCTGTGCTGCGCTAGCTCAGTCCGGGGTTTGACACACCTTCTGCTCCAGGTAAGAGTGAGAAATATTTGCAAGCAGCAGCAAACATGCTGACCTGTCTGTTTCTTGGACCCTCTTAATTCTTTGGTCTCCTCGGTATTATGGCATGCTTGGTGAAAAATACTCATTCTAGCAATATGGCTTTAAATTAAAGAGGTGATTCCTGGCTGCTTGCTGTCATGTAGGAGAAAGGACTTGCTGGATGATGCTGAAAGAAGATGAGGGTTTTGTGTGTATTGTTCTCCCTGTCTTACTAGCTCAGCCTACGAAATCCTGTTTTAAGAAGCTGTTCACTTCTGTGTTCAGATCCCAGCATGCTGAAGCACCCACTTTGGTGTTGTTGAGAGCTCTGGCCCTCCCTTATGGTGAGAAGAGGGGGGGTGATTCCTGGGAAAGCTTCCAGCACTGGGCCAACTGTGGAAACAGCTGGGCTTTGTGCCAGCCTTTTGGAGGGAGGGGGAGCTCAGAGCTGGTGCAGTGAGTGTATCAAGCAGGGGCTGGTGTAGCCTGTCGCCTTCCTCAGCGTCTTGCTGCTGCTCCTGTTTCAGGAGAGAAACTACTCTTTACAGAGCTGTGGTCAAGCAGAGACTCGCTGAGAGGGTTGGTAAAGGCTCCTGATGGCCTTCTGATAGCAATAGGCATGAAAGAATCTGACATAAGAAAGAATCTGTCATATGCTGGTGCTCCTGGCTTGGAGGAGGAGGAGTTGTTCCTGCCTGTGTTAAGGGGGAGGGGAAGTGTGATCTCTGGATAAGTAAAGATAAGGGAGGATTTGGGGAAGATCAGCCAGAAGAGGAAGAGCCTCTATGGGGAGGTAAGCTTGTGATCTCCATGTCTCACCTAGCAATCTCTGCAGTCCTTGTTCTAGACGCTGCAAAATAAACTGCGGTATTTGGGGACCATGGCTGCAGACCCGCTCTCGGAGCTTCAGGATGACCTGAACCTGGATGATACCAACCAGTCCCTCAGCCAGCTCAAACTGGCCTCCATAGATGATAAGAGCTGGCCAGCAGATGAAGCCCCTGCTTTTCCTAAATCGGGTAAGTATCCTGCTTGTTTGGGGTCTGGGTTTTGGCCAAAAAGGAATTGTTCTGCAGCACTGTGGTCATGTCTACATATACAGAGAGCCCCAGCTCTATTTGAAAGCTTTAGAGATGCATTAATCTTGCACCACACCCAAGTGAATTAGCCCTGCCATTGAACAGCACTAAAAAGCTCAGAGCCAGCTGATGTAAACATATTCTTCTCAGTCCTGTGGGTGGCTGCACTTTGGTGCTGACAGGACAGACATGCTGTAAGTCCTTGAGTGTCCTCTGTTATGGTCTCTTGCAAGATAGTTTGGCCTTCCTGAGTGGAAGGGTCTTGAGCTTCCATGTGGGAGGCGGGGCTGGAGATCTGAGTTGTTGCTCTGAAATCCTGTGCTATGGACTGCTGCCCAAAGAGGTCAGGGAAATTAGCTCAGGGCCATATAGGACGGCCATCCATCAAGGGACGATGTTAAGATCCTCCTGCTCTAAAAAGCCATGATGGTGCCCTTGGCACTTGGGTTTTGGTCTTTGCGAATGTTTGTGACGCATCTGAACAGTCATTTTTGAGAGGGTGTGCAGTCTGAGGGACGTGTATAGACCTCATAGGATTGACAGGTCTCTTTTGAAGTCATTGCTGCTCTTGCCCACTCAGAATTTCAAAGGTGGGTTTCCAAGGTGGACAGGTGCATACCTTAGTCCCTCCCATGTTGAAGAGCCATTTTTTTCTCATCCCTCTGTCTCTAGCGTACCCCTCGCCAAGGTGCTCCAGATCCCTTCTCCTAAGTGCTTGTTCCTTGTGTTTTGTGCAGAGGACTCCAAAGGCTCCCCGGAGCCCGTCACTCACCTGCAGTGGGATGATCCCTACTATGATATCGCACGGCACCACATTGTGGAAGTAGCAGGTAGTGATATTTCTGTTTTCTCCTTTGATGTCCTTGCAGCTGGGCTGAGGAAGGTTCTTTCTAATGGGTTTGTGGGGGCACCTGCTATATGCCAGGCCCAAATGGCAATGACAGCTGGCATTGTAAAGAGGAGCACCAAACTTCTTGAATGTTTGCAATATGTGTAATTTTCTTGTTGACCTTGGTTAAACTTGCATTCCTTCTTGGCTCTTACTGCCTTGATTATATTATTAGGAGGACTCGGTTGCTTTTGCTGAATTGTTTTAGATGTGGCACTTGACTACATCCTGAGCACAAGATGTGTTTTTTGCATGATAATGCCACAGAAATTATCTAGTTACAGCAGTACTGTTGCAAGGTCCTCAGCTGACTGAGTAATCCACAGTAGGTCTGGCAGCTCTTTTACATCTGAATGGCCAGAGCTTGCCATCCTGTCCAGAAACAACGTCTACAGAAGTCTGAAATAGAGGGAATAGGCCCATGGGTCACTGCAAGGAAAGGCTTGACCATTCAGAGTCACAAGCATTCGGATTTTTTCTGTGTGGTTGTCTTATCCGTATTATTTTAATTATACTAACCCTTGGTGATTTACTGATGGGACCTCCATAAGAAAGAGTTTTGGGGGTAGTTTTTAGGTTGCTGTGGTAAGTCTGAGGAAAGGGTAATCCCAGTTTGTCTTGCGTTCCTTGTTTTTTAAAAAAAAAAAGCGCCTCTTCAACCTGTTGTGACTTGATTCACACTTCCTCCTTGATTACCTGTAGCCACCTCCTACCCCTCCTATTGCCATTTCTCTGTGCCTTGGTGCCTGCCCCACAAGTGAATTTGCAGTGAAGCAGAGGCGCAAGCTGGAGTCCCCTCTGATTCAGGGTTGTTCTGCAGCGAGGGTTTGACCACAGAGGGAAGATTCACAGTCACTTACCTTGGTAAGAGTTGTCCTGACATCATTCTTCTCTGGGCTGTCCTCTAGAATGAGCTTTCTCTCTCCTAACCTCTCATGTTACATCTTTTGGGGAACAAAAGGATAATGGCACACTCAACACTTTGTTGTTCTTTGTCTTCTGTGTGCCTCTGGCTGCTCGGGTTGACAGACCAGGTGTTTAGCATTTGGGCCATTATGTCTTGTAGATTTGCCACAAGTGCTTTCATTTGCAAATGTGTTACTAACCTTCTTTTCCATGGGGCTGGAGTTTCAGGACTGGGGTTAATAGAGTTCTGCACCCTGGCCTCCCTACTGCTGAAACTGGGAAGGGACAGATGTGTGGCTCCACCGTTTCAGTGATAATAGCTCTAATATTTGGAATGCAAATGGCAGAGGTAACTGGTGTTTCTGGGCTCTGGGAGCTGGTGAGTTAAATGATACTGTTGTGTGCTTCAGACAAAGTGCTTAGCAGAGAGTTTAGATCAGAGACATTGATAAGACTGGAATGTCAGCCCAAACCAAGGATGTACTTTGTGTGCTGCCTTCTGACGTAAGCACCAGGCTTTCTGCGGGATTTCTGTATCCAGGTAACATTTTTTTTTCCCAAGCTCTCTGAATGAAGTATCACTCCAGCAGAGGTGTG